ACACCCTCCAGAATGCTCCCCACAACACTAGACTAATACCCAGGTACTTACTGCTAGGTGAATAGGTACACCCTCCAGAATGCTCCCCACAACACTCGACTAACACCCAGGTACTTACTGCTAGGTGAATAGGTACACCCTCCAGAATGCTCCCCACAACACTAGACTAATACCCAGGTACTTACTGCTAGGTGAATAGGTACACCCTCCAGAATGCTCCCCACAACACTCGACTAACACCCAGGTACTTACTGCTAGGTGAATAGGTACACCCTCCAGAATGCTCCCCACAACACTCGACTAACACCCAGGTACTTACTGCTAGGTGAATAGGTACACCCTCCAGAATGTTCCCCACAACACTCGACTAACACCCAGGTACTTACTGCTAGGTGAATAGGTACACCCTCCAGAATGCTCCTCACAACACTCGACTAACACCCAGGTACTTACTGCTAGGTGAATAGGTACACCCTCCAGAATGCTCCCCACAACACTAGACTAACACCCAGGTACTTACTGCTAGGTGAATAGGTACACCCTCCAGAATGCTCCCCACAACACTAGACTAACACCCAGGTACTTACTGCTAGGTGAATAGGTACACCCTCCAGAATGCTCCCCACAACACTCGACTAACACCCAGGTACTTACTGCTAGGTGAATAGGTACACCCTCCAGAATGCTCCCCACAACACTCGACTAACACCCAGGTACTTACTGCTAGGTGAATAGGTACACCCTCCAGAATGCTCCCCACAACACTCGACTAACACCCAGGTACTTACTGCTAGGTGAATAGGTACACCCTCCAGAATGCTCCCCACAACACTCGACTAACACCCAGGTACTTACTGCTAGGTGAATAGGTACACCCTCCAGAATGCTCCCCACAACACTAGACTAACACCCAGGTACTTACTGCTAGGTGAATAGGTACAGCCTCCAGAATGCTCCCACAACACTCGACTAACACCCAGGTACTTACTGCTAGGTGAATAGGTACACCCTCCAGAATGCTCCCCACAACACTAGACTAATACCCAGGGTACTTACTGCTAGGTGAATAGGTATACCCTCCAGAATGCTCCCCACAACACTCGACTAACACCCAGGTACTTGCTGCTAGGTGAATAGGTACACCCTCCAGAATGCTCCCCACAACACTCGACTAACACCCAGGTACTTACTGCTAGGTGAATAGGTACACCCTCCAGAATGCTCCCCACAACACTCGACTAACACCCAGGTACTTACTGCTAGGTGAATAGGTACACCCTCCAGAATGCTCCCCACAACACTCGACTAACACCCAGGTACTTGCTGCTAGGTGAATAGGTACACCCTCCAGAATGCTCCCCACAACACTCGACTAACACCCAGGTACTTGCTGCTAGGTGAATAGGTACACCCTCCAGAATGCTCCCCACAACACTAGACTAATACCCAGGTACTTACTGCTAGGTGAATAGGTACACCCTCCAGAATGCTCCCCACAACACTCGACTAACACCCAGGTACTTGCTGCTAGGTGAATAGGTACACCCTCCAGAATGCTCCCCACAACACTCGACTAACACCCAGGTACTTACTGCTAGGTGAATAGGTACACCCTCCAGAATGCTCCCCACAACACTCGACTAACACCCAGGTACTTACTGCTAGGTGAATAGGTACACCCTCCAGAATGCTCCCCACAACACTCGACTAACACCCAGGTACTTACTGCTAGGTGAAGATTCACCTAGCCACATTATTATTATAATCAAGGGGGAAACGCTAAACCCGGAGGATTATACAGCGCCTGGGGGGGGGGATGTGGAAGGCATTCAGGCTTAATTCGGGGAACTAGAGCACAGATCCAATTCCCTAAATCAAGAGCCCCTCACCAACATCAAGGAACCTTCCTTGAGGGGTCGCCTAGCCACAGAATCAAGCATGGCAGCACTCAACTACACAACTACTTAATACTTGTTAACTCACGAAATCGTAATAACAATATTGTAAACAAATTACACAGTGGATGGGGATCGAACCCATGGCAGGCGAATTCTAAAACTCCTGGCCAGTGTGTTAACCACTGGACCAGTTGGCTATAATAGGATTAATCAAACTAGGTATATTTCTGTACACCATAGGGAGGTTAACATGGATCCCACTGTGACCACAAGTTCACAAACACAATAAGATCGAAGTCGTAATAATGTTGGTAGAATTACCGACAATATGTAAAGTAAAAGGACGCAGGTGCATCTAATGTGATATTTTTATTGTGGCAACGTTTCGCTCTCCAGGAGCTTTGACAAAGCTCCTGGAGAGCGAAACGTTGCCACAATAAAAATGTCACTTTAGTTGCACTTGTGTCCTTTTACCTTACAAGATCGAAGTCACGACAGCCAGGAGGATGACGGGGGTGGATAATGAGAACCTTCAAAACAAGAGAAATAGTGAAGAATTAGACACATGTGCAACAGATATTGCAAATGTGTCTAATTCATCTTCTCGGTATTGTACCAGTGGTGACACTTTTCAAATCGCCTGTGCTCTCTAGTTTAGAATATTTCTCAGTATTGACAGCTCCGTTCAGGGCAGAAGAGATATCAGACAGACATTACTTACGTCCTACATAGAATCAATAGAGCATTTAAATTACAAGGAACTCTTTAGAGTCCAAAATATGTACTCACTGGAGCGGAGGAGATACATGCAAATATATATGTGGAAAGTACTTGAGGGACTGGTCCCAAACCTGCACACTGCCATAACAACATACTGGAGCGAGAGATATGGGAGGAAGAGAAAAACTCTGTGAAGAGCAGCGGTGCTGTGAGAACAATAAGGAAACACTGTATCAACATCCGTGGCTCCAGATTATTCAACATCTTACCAGAAAATATCAGAAACACTGCTGGAACAAGTGTAGAAGCCTTCAAGAGGAAACTGCACAAGTACACTAAAAGAAAACACATGTGTCCGGAGCCCAAGACTGTTCAACAGCCATAAGGGGCAATACCAATAGACCACTGGTTATCTTCAAGAGGGAGCTGGACAGATACCTAAAGTCGGTGCCAGATCAGCCGGGCTGTGGTTCGTACGTTGGACTATGTGCGGCCAGCAGTAACAGCCTCGTTGATCAGGCCCTGATCCACCGGGAGGCCTGGTTGTGGACCGGGCCGCGGGGGCGTTGATCCCCGGAATGCCCTCCAGGTGGACTCCAGGTAGACCTTCAACAGGCTGTGATGGATATGTGGGTCAGCGGACCACCACTAGCAACAGCCAGGTTGACCAGGCAAGCACCAGACGAACCTGGTCCAAGGCCGAGCTCAAGGAGTAGAAAAACTCTCGGAACTCTGCAAAGGTATATCAAGGGTGTGTTTCATTCGTGTCTACTTCACATTCAGCTAGGGATAAACGGAACAATCTGGCAAGTAACTCGGATGTGCAAATATTTTGGGTGGGTTGTAAAAGAGATTAGAGTGAGGCTTAGAGAGATACTTTAATAGGCTGGTTGACTGTGCGTAGAATCTGCCTCGAAATGGTCCAGTAGGCCTACTCCAGCGTGAATGATTGTTTCCCAGGAGGGAGTCGTCTTAAGGTCAGTTGCCTTATCTGGTTTCCCTCCCCTTCCTTTAACCACCCCTCCCACCACACCCGAACGAACGTGAGTCTAGGTAAGACCCTTGTGGGATAAGCGGAGAAGACGGAACAAGTGAAGAACAGCGTTGGAGAGGAGTGTCTTCAGTCGTAGAGTGCAAGAGCTTAACTCAGCAGCTAAGGCTCCTAAGCACTCATGAGGCGATGTGGAAAATAGAAGACTGTGCTGGCAGCAGCCATGTGTACATTGTAGATCTGGAATAGCTGGACAGCAGGCTTGGTCGCGGGAGAGGGGAGAAGGCAGGAACACAGGAGAGGGCAGCAGGATAGGTCGCAGGAGACGGCAGCAAGCAGGATCACAGAAGGCACCTCACATGTAGTGTGTTGATCGTGTTGACGTTGGGTTCGTTGAAGAGGCGTTTACACACTTCATGAAGTTGCTTCTGGAGAGGCAGTACAGCTGTGCCCTGGCCATACAATAGAGCGGAAAATAATGTAAGGGACCTGGGAGTAGTAATGTCTGAGGATCTCACTTTCAAGGATCACAACAGTGCCACGATCGCACGTGCAAAGAAAATGATAGGATGGATAATGAGAACTTTCAAAACGAGAGATGCCAAGCCAATGATGATCCTTTTCAAATCAAGTGTTCTCTCTAGGCTGGAATACTGCTGTACATTAACATCTCCATACAAAGCAGGTGAAATCGCAGATCTAGAGAGTGTACAGAGATCCTTTACTGCACGTATAAGTTCTGTCAAGCACCTTAACTACTGGGAACGCTTGGAAGCACTTGACTTGTACTCGTTGAAACGCAGGAGGGAGAGATATATGATAATCTACACTTGGGAAATCCTGGAAGGAATGGTCCCAAATCTGCACACAGAAATCACTCCCTACGAAAGTAAAAGACTGGGCAGGCGTTGCAAAATGCCCCCAATTAAAAGTAGGGGCGCCATTGGTACACTAAGGGAAAACACCATAACTGTCCGGGGTCCAAGACTGTTCAACAGCCTCCCATCAAGCATTAGGGGAATTGCCAATAAACCCCTGGCTGCCTTCAAGAGAGAGCTGGAAAGATACCTAAAGTCAGTGCCGGATCAGCCGGGCTGTGGCTCGTACGTTGGACTGCGTACGGCCAGGAGTAACAGCCTAGTTGATCAGGCCCTGATCCATCGGGAGGCCTGGTCATGGACCGGGCCGCGGGGGCGTTGATCCCCGGAATAACCTCCAGGTAACTGGTAAACCTGACAATCCCTCCCACCCCAGCAGTAACAGCCTCATTGATCAGGCCCTGATCCACCGGGAGGCCAGATCGTGGACCGGGCCGCGGGGGCGTTGACCCCTGGAACACACTCCAGGTAGACCCCTCCCAATAAGCTCTAACTACATACTCCCTAACTTAGGATATACTTACCAATATCCCAACAACCTCCCTCCCGACCAGTCCTTACCGTCCCAACTACCAGACCACACCATCACCGCCCTCCCGACCAGACCTCCTTACCGTCCCAACTACCAGACCACACCATCACCGCCCTCCCGACCAGACCTCCTTACCGCCCCAACTACCAGACCACACCACCACCGCCATCCCGACCAGACCTCCTTACCGCCCCAACTACCAGACCACACCACCACCGCCATCCCGACCAGACCTCCTTACCGCCCCAACTACCAGACACCACCACCGCCCTCCCGACCAGACCTCCTTACCGCCCCAACTACCAGACCACACCACCACCGCCCTCCGACCAGAACAACATAGCCCTGGTCCATCCCTCCTGTGGGAGGAGAGCCAGAGGGGAGGTCAGGAGGTGACCACGCACAGGCCAACTTGTTCAGTAACTTGAGCCTTCCTACAGTCTCCTGGGTCCTGTATCTCCTCCACCCAACTCCACTCCCACCCATCTCTCTTATCTCCCACCCAGCTCTCTTCCTTACCACCCCCTCTCTTCTTCCCCAACAACCTCCCTTCTCCCAACTCACCATTCTTGACGTCATATACTGTGCCTCACTACACAGCCAGACTGTGATACACATACACTGTACGTCCTGGTGACGCAACAAGTTGACCTGAAGACAGTTTGGGAGGTCGCCGCCCCTCCCCCCACGCCACGGCCAGGTCAGAACATAAGGGAAGAAGCACTGCAACAGACCTACTGGAACATGCTAGGCAGGTCTTGCAGACACAACTACACACACACACACACACACACACACACACAACACACACACACACACACACACACACACACACGCACGCACACACACACACACACACACATCTCTCCGTGAGTCCTTAGAGAGGGAGCAGGGACACTACGTGTGCCACTAACCAAAATCTTCAACACTTCCCTTGAAACTAGGCAACTACCTGAAGTATGGAAGAAGGCAAATGTAGTCCCCATCTTTAAGAAGGGAGACAGAAATGAAGCACTAAATTATAGACCAGTGTCACTGGCATGTACAGTATGCAAAGTCTTGGAAAAGATTATCAGGAGAGTGGTGGAGCACCTGGAGCGCGACAAGATTATAAACGACAGCCAGCACAGATTCGTGGAAGGCAAATCCTGTGTCACAAACCTACTAGAGTTTTATGACAAGGTAACTGAAGTAAGAAATGAGAGGGAGGGGTGGGTTGATTGCATTTTCTTGGACTGCAAGAAGGCCTTCGACACAGTTCCTCACAAGAGATTAGTACAGAAGCTAGAGGAACAGGCATGTATAACAGGAAGGGCACTGCAATGGATCAGAGAATACCTAACAGGGAGGCAACAGCGAGTCATGGTCCGTGATGAGGTATCACAGTGGGCGCCAGTGACGAGCGGGGTCCCACATGGGTTAGTCCTGGGACCAGTGCTATTCTTGGTATATGTGAACGACATGACAGAAGGGATAGACTCAGAAGTGTCCCTGTTTGCAGATGACGTGAAGTTAATGAGGAGAATTAAATCAGACGCGGACCAGACAGGTCTACAAAGAGACCTGGACAGGCTGGATGTGTGGTCCAGAAACTGGCTCCTAGAATTTAACCCCGCCAAATGCATAGCCATGAAGATCAGAGGAGGGCAAAGAAGACCGCAGACAGAATATAGGCTAGGTGGCCAAAAACTGCAAACCTCACTCAAGGAGAAAGATCTAGGAGTAAGTATAATAACGAGTACATCGCCAGAAGCACACATTAACCAGATAACTGCTGCAGCATATGGGCGCTTGGCAAACCTGAGAATAGCGTTCCGGTACCTCAGTAAGGAATCGTTCAAGACTTTATACACTGTGTACGTCAGGCCCATACTGGAGTATGCAGCACCAGTTTGGAACCCACACCTGGCCAAACACATCAAGAAATTAGAGAAAGTGCAAAGGTTTGCAACAAGGCTAGTTCCAGAACTAAGGGGAATGTCCTATGAAGAAAGGTTCAGGGAAATCAGTCTGACAACACTGGAGGACAGGAGGGTCAGGGGAGACATGATAACGACATACAAAATACTGTATGAAATAGACAAGGTGGACAGAGACAGGATGTTCCAGAGATGGGACACAGAAACAAGAGGTCACAATTGGAAGCTGAAGACTCAGATGAGTCAAAGGGATGTTAGGAAGTATTTCTTCAGTCATAAAGTAGTTAGGAAGTGGAATATTCTGGCAAGCAATGCACACACACACACAACACACAAACACAACACACACACACACACACAACACACACACACACACACACAACAACACACACACACACACCACACACACACACACACACACACAACACACACACACTCGTGGAGGAGTCACGCAGTTTGAGCTCATGTTTTGGTGGTAATTTCTGACTGTGCCATAAGGAATAGAGTGTGGAATATAGGCGTGTGCACGCATAAGAGTGCATATAATCACTTAAGCCCCGAAAAAATGAAATATAAGTGATCACAGAAAAGAAAACAAAGGAAATAGTGACTAAGTGTTTAGTGGGGGCCGTTGGAAGGGTGAATGGTTGTGTCAGGCCTAAATAGTGTTGCCATAATAACGCAGTGGGGTATTTGAAGAATAAGTGCGACTCAAGACCAGGGAGATAAGAGATATGTATAGATGTGTCAGTAAATACAGTGAGTGAGTGAAAAAATTAGATGAGCTAGAGACTATAGTGCATACAGGAAGTTAGTGGAAAAATTACCGAGAAGCATCAAACATCTTCAATTTCTGGGACAGGACAGACCCGCAATGTTACTCCACTGCCAGCCGCAAGTAATATTCACCTAGTTTGAGTTGCATGGGGTCAATAGTACCTGTCTCTAGCTGGAATTGGGGGGTCACTCTCCTCGAGCTATCAGAATTAGAATAAGCAGCATTTACAGGCATTTAATAGAATTTAGAGGTAGCGGCATACAGGCGAAGCCTAGTGTATTTATTTTTTAACGTAATTTTAAACGCATAAGACAGTACAGTGGGAACCAAGAGATCGGGTACATATGCAATACATATGTAGTACATACGTGGGAAATAAGGACTGTTTACATAAACATATGCACACACTAGGTGAGAACAGGCTCTGCTGTTAGGCACTTGAATAGCTGTAGCATGCACACACACACACACACACACACACACACACACACACACACACGCACACACCACACACACATGCACACATGCACACATGCACACACACACACACACACACACACACACACACACACACACACACACACATATACAGGATTTCACACCTTCCTGTGAAGTGACCCTCTAACCCTTCCTTTCCCCCCCTGTCTCTTCCTCTCCTCTCTCTCTCTCCCTTTCTCTCATCCTCTCACTCTTTCTCTCTTCCTCTCTCTCTCTCTTCCTCTCTTACTCTCTCTCTCTCTTTCCTCTTCTTTTCTCCTCTCTCTTTCTCTCTCTCTCTCTCTCTCTCTTCCCTTGTCACTCCTCCCTCTCTCTCTCTTACCTTTTCCCTCTCTCTCACTTTCTCCCCCCTTTTCCCCTCTCTCCTTCTACCCTCCCCTTCTCTCTCTTTCTTCCTCTCTCTCACTCTCTCCCCTTTTTCTTTTTCTTTCTCTCTTTCACTAAAAAAAAAAATGGTTGAGACTCACAGGAATCAGGGATCAGATGACAATGGTACTGGTAGGGAGGAATGGATGGAGGAGCAGTAGAAAAGGATAGAGCAAGAATGGGAGAGAAAATTAGGAGAGCTTTCTGAAAAAAATGAGAAATAGCTCTCTGTGAAATGGGAAAAGAGGTTGGAGAAGGAGACGAAGAATTGGGAGGCACAAGTTGAAACTGCAGTAGCCAGGGTAAAGGTCCTAGAATTTGAGGTAAACAGGCTGAAGCAAGTCTCAGGGGTAGTGACCAGAGAAGACACACCATACGAAGCTGAGAGGCTGAATAGGAAGGAGATATGAATTATGCTAAGGTCATATCAGCCTGCAAAGAAGGGCCAGGGAGTGGAAGGGAAGAGCAGATGAGTGCAGATGGAGAGGGAGATAGGTCGAATGCTGAGGCACAACCATGCTACCAAGAGCCACTGGAAAAATCAAGGGAGAAAATGACCACATACAGACAGGAACAAGAGTCACAGAGGGAGAGGCAATGGGAGGAGGAAAGGGCAAAATCAGTGTTTATCCATGGGCTTCGGGAGAGAGAGAGGGAAAGGACACACACTGAAAGACGGCAGGAAGAAAGAAAGGAGATTGAGAAAATCATCACGGAAATAGGGGAAGAAGACATGGACGAGATTGTAAATTTTCAGATAATAGGGGGGTACTTGAAGGGGAGAAACCGACTGATCAAGCTGATTCTCAGGACAGAAACAGTGCGGAACAGGATCCCCAAGAGAAACCACGGTTGTAAAAGCTCGGAAGAGTACAAGAAGGTGTTCCTAGACAGAGACAGAACACAAACAGAGAGACAGCAGCTGAGGGAGAGGACAAAAAAGCAAAAGGAGCTAGGAAAGGAGACAAGGATGGAACCAGCAGAGGTCAGTCAGAGCAGAACAGAGCAGCAAGGGCAAGCACACACACAACTATCCTCAGAACCCCACAACCTATCACACCATCCCAACACACAATACAATCCATACCCACAGCTTCCACCCAACCCCAACCATAGAATCCCACAGTATGCTACCAGGTCTCCCACCCCCACAGGCCCCCCAAACCACAGTGTTGGAAAGGAAACTGAAGGTATGGTACACAAAAGCTGATGGAATAACAAACAAGTGGGAGGAGTGGCACGAAAGAGTCAAAGAGGCATCACCAGACATCATAGCGACCACAGAAACCAAGCTTATAGGTATGATAACAGATGCCATCTTTCCAATGGGATACCAGATCCTGAGGAAAGACAGAAGGAACAGGGGGGGGTGGAGGAGTGGCATTGCTGATCAAACACCGATGGAATTTTGATGAGCTGGAGAGAGGAGACAGCGGAGAAGAAAGTGATTGCATAGCGGGAACGCTTCACTCTGGAGGTCCCAAGGTGATAATTGCAGTGATGTATAACCCACCACAGAACAGCAGGAGGCCAAGGCAAGAGTATGACGAGAGCAATAGAGCGATGGTTGACACACTGGCTGCAGTGGCCAGAAGAGCTCATGCATGCAGGGCAAAGCTCCTGATCATGGGCGACTTTAACCACAAGGAGATCGAATGGAGAACTTGGAGCCACATGGGGGCCAAGATACATGGAGGGCTAAGATGATGGAGGTGGTACTGGAAAACTTCATGTACCAACACGTAACGGACACTACAAGAGAGAGAGGAGAGGATGAACCAG